ACACACGTACACACACACAAACATAGCCATGCACTCATTCTCTCTCTGTCTTGTCTTGTTTTCAATGAGTGTTGGACCAAGTCTGGAGCCATCATTAGATTGTGTTAAAGACAGAGATAAGAGATACCAATCTTTGTTTTTACATCTATCAGTTATGTATATAAAAAGTTATAAACATATAAAAACAGACAAATCCAGTTTATTTTCAATTAGTACATCTAGATATCCCATTTGCTACCAGGAAAGGGCTGCCCCTGCTGAGACAGAACGCCCTCTGTAAGGTTTTTTGTCTAACACCCGGTGCCATTTATCAAGAGTCGCAAAACACACTGGAAAAGGAATAACACGTTACAAGATGCAGTTTGTTTGTGTGCAACTATTTGAGATATTTTTTATTAACATGGAGTAATCAATTAGTCGTCAGAATCTCATAACTACTAGTGATAGTGGTACACCTCCTATAGAAAACTACTTTTACACCAGTTCTAAGAAGCTAATTCTGTTGTTGTTGTCCAGAAACCAGAATGAGGCCTGCAACCAATTTTTTCATCGCAGCCCTTGTTGTTGTTTTTCCAGCAGTCTGGTCAGAGTGGTGGTCAGGAAGGCAACAGTCAAACAAACAGAAGTGGTCACTGGTCAGCCCAGAGGAACACACACATCTTTCTCTGTCTCTCTCCTTCTCCTGCTCTCTCTGCACACCGTTCACTCAGTGTCATTTTTGGTGTGTCTTTTCTGAGATCTGTCTCACTGAGCTGTCTTTTCCGGAGGCTTTTGCATTTTTAGCTTCATCACACAGAGCAAAGCGGATCCAGACATGAGCGAAGAGGAGGAGAGAGACTGGGAGATGATAAGAGCTGCTTACAACAATGTGACATTTATGTAGCGCACACCCACAATGACCACCCAGTAGTTTGTTTGATATTATGGGGGCGTTATCTGATGATTTATGGAATAAGAAAAAAACTTCCTACGTAACACAAAGTGCCTTATCATCTCAGTTTTTTTTCCTGATTTCTCTGAAGACTCCTCAGTCTCTTTGTGTTAAATTAAACAAAAAGGGGTCAGTAGGGTAACAGAACCACTGCCTCAACCCTTACTGACATCCATATCCAAAAAGTTGTGAATAAAAATCTCCACTGATTTGGAATTTGGCAAGCTTTCAGTGATCTGCTTATTTTCTACTCCAGACCCTGCTTACTGGCTGTATTTGTATTTTTGACAGATAAAATTTGCCAGTTCTTACACTCTGTCAGGCAGTGTTTGAATCTCAGCTGGCCTGCAGTGATATTAGAAGAGTGACTCAGATAAAACTTCACACAAAAAGCTATAGTCGTATCTATGAGGGTAGAAATATGAAGGTCTTTCCAGTTTTTTCAGTATATAACTAAA